TTGATATTTTGCATATGAATGCACTGTAATGTTTACTGATAATCTGCCAAATTTCGTTAACATTTGCTTACTAATTTAAAAGTTATAGAATGAAACTATAATAAGCACAAAATGGTGATGAGGTTGGTCCCAGGGACTTAGCCCATGCTGAAAGAGTTAATCAAAGGTAATTTGACAAATAATATATGTATAAATAAAACAATTCGCATATGTTTAAACTAGGGAATAAAATAACCTTCGTAAATTATGAATTACAAGGATTAATTCTCAACAATCTAAATGAGCACATAAAATGTAACTGTCTTAATAATTATGTTAGATGATCCTCACTTGTCTAAATGATGAAGTAAATGCTCCAAGATAAGCCACAATGGCAGCAGATATAAGAACATCTCCAGTTAGGTTACAGTAAACTTCACCTAATTTCTCTGCTGCTAGACTCCATCTATCTTTCTCTCCACCAAGACCTCCTATTAACTGTTCAGCTCTTTCCAGTTTCTTTGAACAAAGTTCAACCTCTTTTTCCAGGTCTGAAAAATTTGGAAAACAGGAGTTTTAGCTATTATTAAGCAAACTATTTGATAATGTAGAATCCCAGGAAAGTTAACATTTTCCTTACCTGAAAAAATGTATTTCCAATAGATAATCACCTCTTACACAGAAAGCTATCTTCCCCATGCATCTGCCTTAGAGATTTGCATGTCATCAGCCTTTAGGCAATTCCCACCTAAACTCACAAGATTTCTCTTGATAATGATGTTATTATGAAGCAAAAGCCTTCCACCATTAGAAAGGGACCCAGACTCCTTGCACAATAGCTCCCTCTATGAGTTTGCACTCATGATATTTATTCTATGGTAAGGCAGGGAATATGAAGTTGCACTGGTAGTGAAGAGGGAGAATGGGAAGCGTGTTAGGAGGTATCTATCAGAAATACATTTTGATGTAAAGAAAATGTTAATTTCCAAGGCAATACATACCATTACACACAGAAAGCTAGAATCACACATTGATACAGTGGAGGTACCAGTGTGAATGTTACCTAGATGAGCTTTTCCTAGATTGGAAGGGAGGAAGAGGCAAGCAAGCCCCCATGTGTCACAGATATGGGTAGAATAAGAATATGGCTATCCGAGGACTTGCACACAAGAAGTGGAGAGCCAATATGTGTTGCATAGTTGGAGTGTGTTCAGACCATACCTAGTGGTCACCTCATCTCTGCTGTCAGACTTATTGGGTCAAAACTGGCTGGGGAAGGAGGGCACAGGAATCATTAGTGCATATTAGTCTAAACTATACCCTCAGACTCTTGGACCAACACCAGTTGTGAAAGTAGGGCATGACAAGTAAATGCATGATTTGTTTGTAAGTGTTCACCTCAACTCAATTGAACAGAAGATGATTGCAGGTAGTTGATAGGTCAACTTCAGTCTAAAACTAGAAGGTACTACCAAGAGAAAATGATGATCATGACCAGAACCCAAGGTAAAGGCTGGAAAGGTGAGTGGGCTTTATAACATGTAAAAGACAAGATCCATTAGAATGCAGCAACAGCTAGAGCTGAGGGAAGGAGAACAAATTATCAGAAGAGAAGCATTAAGTGATAGGGTGGGCTAGGCAAATTGAGTAGGGTTCTCAAAGAAGCACACCTAATGGAAACTGTGAGAGAAGGGACATTGTGCGAGCAGAACTCTGTCTGGCCAAGAGAGGCAGTCTGCAACTGGAAACATAGTATCCAGTACATGACAGGTGGGAAAACCAGCCAAATGATAAAAGGCCCAAGAAGGAAGGTTCAGAGCTTGAAAGCAAGGGGTTCTGGAACAGATTACCCAATGGTGGCTAAGTGAGGAAATCCAAGGAGTTGTTGGAATGGAACTTAATGAAATGAACCACTAGAAGGGGTAAGAATAGGATCATGCTCAATTGACTACCGGAAGGGTGAGTAATAAATGTGGAGAGAGGGCTTGCCCTGAGACCAAGTGCTGAATGAAAATAGACAGTCAGGGATACTTTCAAACC